ACAAACACACTCTATTTCCACAGGATCAGGGAGGCCAGTATTTTAATGGATGATGTTTTTGTATCATGGCAAATGAGTAAGGGTTCCAAGGGTTTTGTTTTTGTTTGGCTCTGAGTTCAAAACCCAATGCTACCAGATTTTTTTTAATGGAAATACATAAGATATGCAAAGAGGGTAATTTTTGGAAAGCAGATAGCCCCTCCTTATACCCCCTTAGATATTCTTTCAGGGATTGGAACATGATAAGTGAATGAGTCCCACTGAGGACAGACAACAGCTTAGGGATCAGTGCAATGCAAGGAAAAGTCCCAGAGAGTCAGGCTGCAGAAAAGCTACCCTGAGGACTATTTGAAAACTGTGGGATCATAACTGATCCTGCTCCTCTTTAATCGATAATCCAATGGGACAGTTGAGCAAAAATTGCAAGTATTTGCTGAGTCCCTAGGACTCTTGATTACATTGCAATACAATTTAACCTAACTCATCCTGGATGATAGACATCAGCTATAGAAATACTTGATGCCTTGCACATTTAACATTGTGAGCTCTCCCCCTGAAGAATATCCTGCAATTTCATTCAATAGTTGAAGGATGAATGGCTGGATTATGGAATAAGTCAGACTTGGCTTACTCTAAAATGGAGGTTAAAAGTAGATTCAGGTATGAGGCATTCTTGTAAATAAGGCAGCTGATACCTTGAAAACTATTTGCATGAGGTAAAGTTAAGAAGTGAAGTGGAATTAAGAAGGCAGAATACTGTAAAAGCAATATAATGTTGGCAATAACTGAGAGAAGTATCAGCATTTAAAAACAGCCTTTGAATACCCTGCCTTCTCTACCAAAATGGCTTTCTCTACCTCTTTCTCTGCCAACTGATTGATGAAAGAATTGAACCCTAGAGAGGGCCTGTGACTCGCTTGATCTTGCACAGCACCAGCAGAGCCTAGAACAGAATTAAGTCTCAAAAAAGGCACAATAGTAAGGTGATATATCTGTGTGAAGATTTTCACAAGTGAAGTGGGAAGCAGAAAGTAAATGGTTTTGAGGTGATGATAAAGTGAAGTGATATGTTATTATATTATCACGTATCATAGATCTATTAGTACACTATAAAGGGGAACAGAAAACATACCTTTTTTTTCCTTTTCACAAATTCTTTTACAATCTGAGCACAAGGCAAGTTCTAATTTCCTGCTTATTGATCAGAGTCGTGACCTTAGACATATGCATACTGGTCAGACTGTCCATTTGATAGAATTCACAATAGCCAGCACCTCCCTCTTTTGCTCGCTGACAATTCAATCACCCAGAAGGTCAAGAGAATAACTCAAGGCTTTGTTATTCTATGCCTAATTCTAACCAACAAAGACAAATCTCTTCTGGAATTGAAGCTGTCAGGAGCTGAGGAGAAAGTAAACATGCCAGTGTCATGTTTGTGAGAGTCAGGAAGCTTCAGCATAATCAGACATGCACTCTTGATTATAGAAAACAGACTTTAGTCAGTGTTGAGGGACGAGCCTGGGCATTCTAGAGCACACCTGTAGAGTAAACTGCTCAGGAAGGGGTGAAGCAAGGATCAGGATGGTGTGTCAAGGTCAATCCTGGGAAAGTTGGCTTAAGACCCTATCTAAAAATGTTGAGAGCAAAAGAACTGGAGATGTGGACAAGGAGTATACTACCCTGCTTCACATGCTTGAATTCAATCCCTAGTACAAAAGGGAAGAAGGAGACAGTGAAGGAGGAGACAGGTGATAGTGTTACAAAATGGTTTGTTTTCCTGCATGAACCTGTAGAAAACATACTTATAGGGATTCTTGAAGACACAATGAGCAAAAAAAAAACAATGGCAGTAGAATAAAACACTTTGGGTATCCAGCATTTTTGTCAATGAGAATGCAATTTGAAGAGAACATTCCTATAGGGTTCCCTTTTGCAGGGAGGAAGGAGCCTAGAAGAAATTTCCAAGATTTTGACAATATTCCATGTTTTGATCTGGGTGCTGGTCAAAGTGTATTGAAGATTAGTATTCTTGTCTGTAGGCATGTGATACTTCAAATGAACTGTGAGACTTTTATTAAGACTTAGTATAATAGAAGTAAAGATAGATAGAGATAGAAGATATATAAAGAGAGATAGAGATAGATGCTCTATTTCTTGAGCCACATCTCCACTTCTGGCTGGTTAATTGAAGATAGGAACCAAAGGAAGGGAATCCAACCAGAGTATAAGAATTTCTTTTTTCAAGCATAAAGAAAAAGCCCTAGTTTGTTCACTTTTACCATTATTTGCCAATTTAAACTTATTTATAACAAATTTGGAGGGAGCATCACATTTAGGGAGTTCTCCTATATATGTGCCTTATTTTAATTTTTCTTCCCATCATCTGGAGAGTTTTCTTTTTTTTTCTTTTCTTGGGGAGGGTGAGGTCGGTCGTGGGGGCTGAACTCTGGGCCTGGGCACTGTCCCTCAGCTTTTCAGCTCAAGGCTATCACCCTACTACTTGAGCCACAAGCCACTGCTGGCTTTTTTTCTGCTTTTGTGGTGCTGAGGAATAACCCAGGGCTTCATGCATGTGAGGCAAGCACTCTACCACTGAGCCACCTTCCCAGCCCTGGAGAGTTTTCTTTTACAGAAACCTTTTGCTTTGAAATGAAACACGGTTCCAATTTCATATGAACCTCTCACATGAATGCTTCATATTTTTGAAACATGATTTTTTTGTATTTTTTAATGTTTCTGAATTTTCTGTTTTAGAAAATGAAGCAATTATTTCATCATGCAAACAGAACAAAAAGAAATACTTGTTCCTAAGAACAAGCCATGCTGACCCAACTTTGTCTCTTTAAAGAGTTCTTAGACTGGTAGATTAGTGGGGGGAAAAAGGAAAAAGACAGAGTATCAGCGTCTGAAATGAATTTGACCCTCTTCTCAAGCTACTGTTGTGGAAAAATGGATGCCATAAGCAATTGAGCACTGGAGGAGAGCTGAATGCACAAGCAACCAAGATGATTGCTTTCTAGTTAGTTCAAAAATTCTGATGTTAACCTAGAGGAAAAATTCTAGTGTATGTCTCAAGACTCCACCATTGCCATTATATTAGTGATCTGGATGAAATTAGAGGGAGAAAAAATTCAAAAAGTCTGCAAGTGGTAGAGCATATGATTGGTGACTGAAGAAATCAAATCAGTCAAAATTTATTTTTCACACATGAAATTGCCGTACTCAGAATGGCAAATCTGATTCTGTACTTGAGCTAGGATGTTGGCTGGGATAGGAAAACATTGGTAGTCTAAGCAATCGTGATTGCAATGGACCACATGGAGACTCCAGCTTCCTCTCCTGCTTCTGTACATTAAGAAAAACAAAGTAGCATTGTTAACCCCTCCCTTGTTGTTCTCCCATTATCCCTTCCTTCCCCACCTCCCTCACTCAATGCTCTACAAGAAATGTGCTCTTTGCCTTACTCATGTAACTGTAACCCCTCTGTACAGCATCTTTACAATAAAATAAATTTTTTTAAAGAAAAAGTAACCAGTGGCTCAGACCAGTAATCCAAGCTACTCAGGAGGCTGAGATCTGAGGATAGTGGTTCAAAACCATCCCAGGCAGGAAAGTTCTTAAGATTTTTATCGCCAATTCAGTATGCAAGCAGGGGAAGACTTTCTATGCAGATAGGAATTAGAATCAGAACCACTGAGGTACCTGTGGGGAGCTCAGTAGTTGGGCTCAATAGAGGTAACATTTTCTAGCTTCCAGAGGTATGCATGAATAAAGTAGACTCTGCTGTTAACATTACAATTTCCTCTTGGCTTCTAGGTGCACCAAACATGGTACAGTCAAGTGACTGGTTCTAACCAATGAAACAGGAATAGAAGTGAAAGCGTGGCTTATGATTCAAAGCATTTGATTGCCAAAGCCTGACTCTTTGCATTCTCACTCTCTGAGTTAAACTTAACAGTCTTGGTCTTTGAGTGATTAAGAGTTTAGCATATTCCTTAACTTTAGCCCTCACCTCTCCAGATACAGAGACACACAAACATATTGGGCATGCATGAAGTTTGAGCAGAAAATAAGCTTTTGTTGTTTTTCTGAAGTTGATGGGTTTTATGGCTGTAACCTTTTCTATCCCAAGGAACACTCAGACACATCGGCTCCTTATGAGCAAGTGTGCTACTAGCAGCACCAGAGTCTGGGGAAGTTTAGGGCTTGATGTCTCATACCTTTCCATTCTTTATTTCCTTTTACTTGCAACACCACATTACATTCCCACTATTGTTAGGGACATTATTTGGCCAACTGGAATTTCCCATTGATTCCAGGGCCTGTGGGAAATGGATCCCAGGAATGTAGGCTAAGATAGCTCGCTTCCCAAGCATGCTTTCCTGTAACTCCATTTCATGCTTGTCAATATCAAAAAGTTAAGGATCCTGCTCAGTTGAGGAACAGCCAAAAATGATTAAAGAGTTCACCCAGCAAAGATTCTGTAGCCACACAAACACATACACAATGCCATTCATGAAGACTGGGAGGTCCCCTAGAAAGGGGACCTTTGGACAGTGAGCTTTGCGGTTCTAATTCTTACACATTTCACACAGGCTGGACTATCGCCAAGTATTCTTTCAATCTGTGCAGGTACATATCCCGCTTGTAGCCAGGCTTCCTAAGAAGGTCCTTGCTCCACCTGCTAACTCATGTACCCAAGTACAAAGCACATCACCAGATACCACTACATATGCACTGAGAGTGGTTAAGCTTTTTGGGTACTGGAAAGTATCTAAAATGTTTATCAAGTCATTCTGCCTGGGAGAAGGAAGCCTGAGAAGCAATAAAAAGATGAAATTAAAAAGTTATCCCTATGGGAGAAAACTAAAGGACAAATTTTAAATTATAATTTAAAAAATATGCACGCATATATATAAATATGTATACATTTTTTCTTTATATAGCAGTCTTATATAACTAACAGCTAGTTAACTGTGCCTCATTTTTGTTGTTCACAGGAGACCAAAATCAACTGTGTTCGTCTGGCTACAAAAGGTATGTTGACACATAGTTGTCTGTCTTTAGCCCTTCTTCAACAATATAAATATTTCCCTTCAGCCCCACAGCAAAACTTCTGGCAGTCATGTCTAAAATCAAGAGACACTGTCATTTTCATTGGGGTCTCTACATCTAAGTTATACATCCTATGTAGTATCACAGATGCCTAAAGCATAAGAGCTCAAAATCTATTCACTGGATGAGTGGATAGAGAGAGTAGTGGATGGATGGTTGGATGCATGGATGGATACCTGGATGCATAGATTCATGGATGGATGCATGCATGCGTGGATGCATGAACAGATGGGTACATGCATGCATGCATGCATAGTTGCATGGATGATGGATGGTCTTGTATGTTAGTCAATGGACTGATGAATATAAACTCTCCAAGAGTATTCTGCTACCCATTTTCATTATACTCAGTTCTATGTTGATGTGGATGTTTTTCTTGAAGCATGCCTATTAGTCCCATCGCTTGGGCTTTGTACCTTATTCAATTGGTACATGGGTTTCATATATGAGGTGATTAGTGTTGGTGCCTTTAGTAATGAGGAAATAAACACTGCATTGTTCTATCATTGGTATTTTCAACACTTATCCTCCCTCCCCCCCCCCCAAAAAAAACGAAGGCAGCATTGTTCAGGCTCATCACTTTTGTTTTCCTAATTATAATTGAATTGCCTGGCTCTTTCAATTGCTACATGTTTCTGTTTATTACTCTTTTTAAAAAAACAAAATCAATGAATGGTTTGTTATCATTTAACCTATTACAAGGTTGAATAGTTAGAAATCGGGTTTATCTTTTTGTTATAGAATTGATATTTTTCAGCAACCACCTTCCCCTTCTTACAAAACAACACTGGCTTCTGTTTTCTGTATTTATTCACCAACACACATAATTTCATGGATTGCTTCTAAGGATTTATAAACTTATAAATATTAATATACATATAATCATAGATAATAAACTATACACAAGGGCAGTACTCGGGTTTGTACGGATATGTCTGTGAATATATAGACATATGCACATGAATAACTGAGCAAAACATATATACATATGAGTAAAAGACAAAGAGAGTGAGACACACAGAGAAAGAGAGACAGGGACAGCCAGAGAGAGAGGGGGGGGGAGAGAGAGGGAGTAGGAGAGAGACAGAGACAGGCAGAGAAAGAGGGAGAGAAGACTATCTATAGTTAGTTGACAAAGCATGCACAAAAATCTACCACCCATGACTTTTTAACTCTAAAAACATCAGCTAAATATGTAGGCACCAAGGGGAAGATGGACGTGGAAGGAGAGGATCTAAACAATACGACTCACTGTGATGAGAAGCTCGTAAGTTGTTGAGGCTGGCCTGTTCCCTCCCTGGAACTCAGACGACCGGATGGAAAAAGATAAAACACTCTTCACGAGGCAAGGAGAATTGATGGCCTGCAGACAAAATGACGCAAATCACAGGCTTTGGCAGACTTTTCCACTGAGGAAAATGGATAATGTCGAAGGGAGAAGACCATCAATTGTGTAGGCCTGGGGCTGGAGACAACAATCAGGATAACTGGGTGTCTGCAGCATCCCACTTCAACAGGAAGCCAGAGTGGAATGGAAACAGAGGGAAACAATGTCCCCATGGAGAGATGCTCTAGCTCCTCAGCGGTGTTTCACTCTAGACAAGGGCTGGCCAGTGTGATCAGTGGTGATCAGCTAGAACAGCCCCAGCTACTCATTCAGGGTCATTATGACTTGACCCCCAAACCTGGCATCCATGACATTAGCCACTCACTTGGTTCCCATTTAGTGCTGCCTGGTCAGGTGGATTGCAAACTTCCCAAAGCCACTGTAACAAAGCCCTACAAACTCAATGACTTCAGCAATAAAAACTCATTGTGTCGGAAGTTTTGGAGAGATCAGAAGGCTACAGTCAAGTCCCTTGGATTGACTCCTGGTGAGGACTGTGGGAAAGAATTTGTTCCATGTATTTCTCAGAGCTGCTGGACATCTTGGCATTCTTTGGCTCACAGAAGCATTACTCAGTTCTCTGCCTTCTCTTCACATGACATTGTCCTTGTATATAAATTTGTACCAGGGGCTGGGAAGGTGGCTCAGTGGTAGAGCGCTTGCCTTGCATGCATGAGGCCCTGGGTTCGATTCCTCAGCACCACAAACCAAAAAGAAAAAAGCCGAAATTGGCACTGTGACTCCAGTGGTAGAGGGCTAGCCATGAGCTGAAGAGCTGAGGAACAGAGCCCAGGCCCAGAGTTCAGGCCCCACGACCAAACCCCCCCATAAAAAAGGGTTTACAATAAGTTTGTGTCCAAATTCACCTCTTTTATAAGGATGCTGTCCATTTTAGATTAAGGGCTTACCCCTACACTAATAGGACTTCATCCTGACTTAACTAATCATAATTATACTCTTTTCATCAAATCGGGCTATATTTCAAGGTATAGAATGATGTAACTGAGCACCACTGACTCACATTTGTAATCTTAGCTATTCAAGAGGCTAAGATGTGAAGGATCACATTTGGAGGCAAGGTTAGGCAGTCTGCAAGACTCCATCCCCAAAGTAACTGACAAAAAGCAGGACTAGAGCCGTGGCTCAAGTGGTAATACACTAACCAAGCAAATAAGCTAAGCAAGCTTGAGGCCCTCAATTCAAATTCCAGCCCTGGCCAAAAAAAAAAAAAAAAAGAATTTGGAGAGGGGGTCGGCAAAATTCAGTACCTACCAGGACCTGTGCAGATAGAAGCAATGTTCATGTGACAACCAGTGTAATTGGACTATGCATCACCCAAGGTGTAATTCCAGTAGATGTTTAGGTGTGCAAGAAATGGAAATCATTCTGTCAGAGAGGGCCACAGAGCCGGGGCAGAGATTCCCATTTGACTCTTGTTTTCTGGTAGAAGCTGTAGGAGACATGGTATGTTGAAGTGATAGTGGGCAATGTGAAAATACAATGGCTGTCCCTTTACATCAGGTTCTGGGTGGGCAGCCTCAGAGCCATTCTGAAACTCCCTACAGTCATAAAGCATTGGATGCTGACTGACTCATCGTGATTTTGGTCACAGGAAGGGCCAGGATTCCTGGGACAGGAACCGTCTGCTGAGAAGAGCTCTGCGGAAAGGCTACTTCATCTCTACCCCTCTCCAGTTTCTCAATCAGATTTACCATGGAAGGACATTTTTTTCCCCACAGCTGATAAGTAAAACATATTTGCCCACATGAGTAAGTGCATTTAGACCCAGTCTCTTGTAATAGTAAAGCTCAGAGACCCTGCAGATTTTACTTGATCTCTTGGAAACTTCCCTGCATCATATTTACAGGGATCTTTGTCTGTTCATAAAACAACTTTGAACACACATGGTCTGCTGCTCACGCTGGTATCTGGATAGTAAAAGGAATGAGTCCTGTTTCAGCCTACCATATTACTTACTGCATAAGAGGGTTACTATACCCTTGGATGGAGGGAGTAGCAAAATGTTTGTGGAATTGCCTCAAATCCAAGAGCTAAAAGGATCATCTCAAAGCCCTTTTACTGGCATTGTCTCATCCTGGGAAATAGTCATGCTCACAACTGGAGAGAGAACATTGTACCCAGTAGGTAAACAAACCTTATGTTTTACTTTATTTAGACTTAAAACTATGATTTGGACTTTGAAAGGAAAGCAGTAGAAAATCAGGGAGCTTAAGGGATCCATTTAAACTTTAGGTCCTCTTTGTGCAGATACACTAGGAACCATGATAAAGGCAAGTCAGGACACCATTGAGTAGGGTGGATTCTCCATTTGGAAAGAGCTAGAGGGGCTCAGGTTGGACATATGGACTGAATATACTCAAAAGTGATTCTTGGGAAAGTACAGTGTGTGGAGTGAGAATCTGGAGGTGCTGGAGCTCAAGGAGCTAAAACCATCCTTCCTTTGAGAAGCATCATCCCATCTGGTAGGAAACACTCAACGCTACAGCTTCTAAAGGAGATGAGTCAGTGCCCTGCCTAGGGCAGGGTAGGCTAACAAGAAAAATAGCATCTGAACTAGTTGCCCCATTCTAGACCCCTGCCATTCAGTTGTTCTTGAAGAAACCAATGTCAAGTTCCACCCAGATCTACTCTACTTACCCATGATTCTCTTCTCCCCCTCCATACATTCTTCTCTTCCCGTTATCTTATCCATAATCCCCGCCTCCACCACTCCTCCCGATAGTACATCTGCTCCTTTCTGACCATCCAGGCCCTTCCAGGCTTCTTTCTTCATATTTACTACATTCCAGCCCCACTGGACCCCTTTCTGTTCTTCAACTACATTGTACAGCTTTGAGCCTCAGAATCCGCCATATATAACATCTTTCTTAAGAGAAAAACATCTTTCAGGCTTCAGTTTCAACCTTACTATCTATGAAAGACCATTCAGACCTCCAATCTAATAATGTATGCCCCCATTTTTCACTCTCATTATACCCTTTGTTTTCCTTCACAACACTCATCTAACTTGCCAACATGCATTTCTGTGTTTGTCTGTATTTTTAAGTTTTATCTCCCTGCCAGACTCTAGGTGATGTAAATGCAAGGATTTTGGTCATTCCGAGCACTGTCCCTATATCTTAGCACAAGTTGGCACTCAATAAAATAAATGTGTGGAATGAACAAATGGGCAAATGATACAAATGGATGTGCAGGTTGATGGATGGGTAGATGGATGGATGGGTAGATAAGTGGATGGGTAGATAGATGGATGGATAGATGGATGGATGCTATCCTGGATCAGTGGACAGATGGATGGATAGAAGACTAACAGGTCATTATTCTTCCATAGCCACTTTTTTTTTCAAATGAAAGCTATACATCAGGACTGTTCTTTTGGAAGAGAGGAGTAAAACTAGGACAAGGCATCAACTTGTAATCTATAATACCCACTACCAAAAAAGCACCTCTAGTCACTACTTTCCCTTCTTATTTCTGTCCATCAATCCTTAAGACTACATAGTCCTGTCTGCCT